AACAAAAAGCTTCTCAATGAATGTGCAAGAAAGGGGCACACACACGAGCAGAAAACAAGGATAGATGATGACAGGAGTATAAAAATACTGTTTTGATGCTTAGATACAAACTCAGGAAGGCTGAAGCCCAGCTGGAGCCCAATATTAAGCTAGCAAATGGCAAAAAGGGTAATAAATAAGAATTTCCACAGGTGCATTAGTTGCGAAATGAAGTTCAGCAAACATATTCATGCAACGATGGACAGGAAAGTCAGTCTAGTGACAGATGATGTATTGTGACGCCTTCTCCAAGACCTCTAAATGACAAGGTTTGGGAGGGTGTCAGCAGATCAGCAGTGCAGGAACTACTTAGTGATGAGTTACAAGTTGCATCCACACCTACAGGAACAGATGAGATTGACCTAAGGGTGATGAAAGAGTTGGCTAATGTCAACATGAGCCCTCTATCATCTACGAAAAATCACAGTGATCAGGAAACATGTAGACAACTGGGAAAAGGTTAATGTTGTGTCCATCTTTGAAAAGGCTGGAAGTGAAAAAATCCACAGAATTGTAAGCTGGTCAGCCTCAACTCAATGCCTGGAATCATTACGGAGTACATCATCTTGGAGTCCACCTCCAAGCAGATGCAGAACAAAGCGACAATCACAAGTGAACATGGCTTCACCAACCAAAGAACAAGGGTCCAGAGGGCTGCCACGATAATTAGAATCCTGCAGCACATCATCCCTAAGAGGAGGATGAGAGAGCGCTATGTTTATTTAGACTAATGAAGAGGCAGCTAAGGAGTAATTTCAAACTAGCCTATAGTTATCTGAAAATGTAGCTGCAACATGATAGAAAAAAACCCAACCAAACAATACTCTTTGTAGTGCCCAAAGATAATGGCAACCAAAATAACGGCAATCCAAGATAATGGCAATGGACACAAACCTGAGTTTCAGACATTCAGGATGGACTTCAGGAAAAAAAAGTATCATAAGGTGGGTAACATGGCACTAGAACAACATGCTTGGAGAAGCTGTGGAATCTTCATCCTTGGAGTTCTTCAAGACTGGTCCAGACAAAGCTGCAGCTGATTGACCCAGTGTTAGTGACTGTCCTGCCTCAACAAGAAGGCTGGCACTCATGACCTACAAAATATCTTTCCTATCAATATTTCTTTGATGCTGTGACACTTTTCGCCACCCTGTAGCAACTTGTACTAGAGTCCTACTTTTTCAGACCATTCCATCAATTTCTCAGAGTCAAATTATGTCCTCCAATGTATCTATGGTTTTTTTCTAGTTACACTGTAAAATTTGACAAGCAGACTTTTATTCTATCTTTCACATCACTATGAGAACAGAAGTCAGGAAGCAATCCAGCCAGAATGTGCTCTGACTCTCTGTCATAAAAAAAAGATACATCCTCTTAAGTGTTCTCCAAATATTAACTGCTATTATTTTTTAACTCTCTCACCTATAATACTTCCACTTAGCCACTGCTTCCCTAGCTTACATATAAAAGCATCCTGTGAAATGTCTTAAAAGCTTACTAACCTCAACAGGTTATTCTTATAAACATTGTTAAAATTATCAAAACATAGCCACAGAAGATAAAAAAAAAAAAACAAAAAAACTTTTAGATTACCTTTTTTTTATTTGCTTTTTGGACTTTCAACCACTAAATTTTCTCTTTCTATCCCTAAATTAAGACTTGGTTAGCACTCAGTTCTCTGGTAACTGTGTCATAAGACTCCTCCACTGACAAGCTTATGAACTTGTACTTTGCCAATGCAGCTTTCAGGGCCAGTTTGGTTCATAACCACCAAGATACTCCAGCAAGTACGTAAGCTAGTGGCCTCTACTAGACCAAAAATGCTGGGAAGAGCTGTATAAGAAAAGGTGGCTCCATGCAAGAGTGTCCTGCCTCTCTCCACATTTTTCCATTAGTTGAGTTATTCCTGTTCCTCTCTCCATTACACGGAGCTGACAGTATGTATCTTAAACACACAAGCATCTGTTGATCTCTTGCTAGCTTTTTCTCAGTATCTAGGTTAAATTATTTTTTTGTCCCTTTGCTTCCCATCTCTTCCACTCCTAGTCAGTCAATCTTCTTCCTCACCTACAGAGTCACGAACTGAAACCTGAAGCTGAGGACAAAAAAAAAAAAAAAAGAAAAAAAAAGGGAAAAAAAAGAAAAGAAAAAAATAATCAAAACTAGAAGAAAAAATGCCTAGAGACAACTGTTTGGACTCTAAAGTGCCTGGAAAACACTTTTACATTTTGTCCCTTCTCTCATACAGTGATGTTTTCTACTTAACACCCACAAAGACTGTTAAATGTCTCTGGGCAATTCATCCTGTGTCCTTCTTCCAGAGGCAGCTGGCAGACTCCTAACTAGAGTCATGCAGAACATTTGGTCTTATAAGCAGACCCATAGGTCAGGGTGGGGTACATCCTCAAGGATCTTCTGTGAAATCCAGAGGTGAAGGTTTGAATCCATGGACAGTTGCATAAGGCACAAACTCTATTGGCTGCAACCTTAACTTTCCCCTCTTCAGCAGGGGATTATCTTCATGATTCTTTCATGATATATCAGTCCATATTCACCTTTAAAAATAGCTGACATCCAGGATAAAATCTGTAGGAAATGACACTAACGGTTTCTGCGTCAAATCCCAAAAGGATTCTCCTCAGATCTGCCAAATAATGAAGTAGAATGAAGCAGGCTGTCTTGGCCTCATCATCTCTCTTCTTATCTGCTTCAGGTCATAGCTATTTAAAATGCATATGCACACAGGCAAAGCAAAGAGGTGAACACCACTCATGAGCTAAAGCAGCAATGTATTTCCCTTTATGATGCAAGTAAGTGTTAATCCCTTCTACTCCCAACCTTTTGCAGTAAAGAACTTATTTTATGCAGAGGAAAAGAGATTAATCTTTATGATAAACAGCAGGATTTGGGGAATTTTTATCTTGGGGAAAATTGTTTCTTTTTTTTTAGTACAAACTTAACCATACACTAAATGAGCGACATGGCAAGAGAGGCAGTGTATGGCTGAATAATTCCTAAGTTACTACACAATACTATGAGAAATTAAGCCAAAAGCCAAGTAAGAAACCACTAGAGAAATTCAACAGTCCTATTTCCTTCAAGGTTAACTGCCCAGCGTGCTTTGTAATCTCAGAATTAATACTAAATTTTAAAATGATGGCACCAGTTTCTTTATTCATTCAACCAAGCAAGCAAAGTGACACAAAGAACAAAAAGATATGATTTCCGCTCAGGAAATCTGATCCTAGGTTACATTCATTTCCTAAAAGCAAATGAAATACAACCCATCAACCTCTCTCGAGCAAATAAAAGTGCATATTGAAGAACTGTGGCTCAACCAAGGTAACGTTATCAGCAGGGGGCAGCAGGAGCCTTCCTCGAAGCTTTGTTTCATTTCCGAATACCCTGCAAAATCTGTGCTCTTATCTTTCTGTATTCTTGCAAGTGGCTTTTTTTAATACATCCCAAATACTAGGTTCTGTCATCCTCTTCATTATGGGCTAACAGAAAGGCCTTAAGCTGCTGGCTCCAATGCAGATATGAGTGACAAGACGAAGGCACACTATGCTCGGAGAATCTCAGGAGAAAGAAACATCCGTGCTGACCAAGCCCCAAAACACCAGCATGTATAAAAGGAGATGATTTGATATTGTAATTACACCTCACTGGAACAGTCTTACAGACAGTTCAGATTTATAGGTCTCCCTTAAGATTTTGTGATAGTTTATATAAACTGTTCCATTTTCATGTTTTTAAAATGAATCAGGGACTACACTATGACAGCTTGTTAAATTAATAACTAAGAAAGCAAGCTGACACAATGAAATTAATTCCTTATTGCACAGGGGCATACATAAACACCTTGCAACATAATCCTATTTATTTTCACACATAGGGCTTCAAGAGTTCACATTTGGGAATTAATTTTCCCATTTTGAAATTGTAAAAGGAAGAACATTAAAATAACAGAAATGGCTTTGTGTGAAGAACAAAAATGGGGCCATCAAGCAGTACAAAGTCATAGATTAAAAATGGTACTTTGAGATTTATCCTCTGTAGTTTCCCCTGCTGCATGTACTTCACGAAATAATAAATATAACACAAATAAATAATTTCTTATGAACTAGTAATAGTGCAACGCAAAAATGATTAATGCTGTGCAGAACTGGTATCCTGAAAAACCTCACTGGAGTAAACAGAAATAAACCAAATGCTTCTGAATTAGTATGCAGAACAAGACATGTCTTCCTTCACCAAAGTGAAGCTGCTCTTGTAATGTCGCCGGTAATCTGCTTACCTGCAGCAAAGAGCATGACTGCAACTGGTCTGTAGAACCGCCTTCGAGATCCCACGCAGATAGAGATCAACCCAACTAGGAAAGCTATGAGAATAATGGCAGCACCACCCAGCAGCAAAGCAAGAGTAGCTATCTGCCAGTCTAGGGGAAAAAAACAGAGAGAGGAAAACAATAATAATACAATTTCAGTAAAACAAGTCCATAGGTCAGACAGAAATAGCAGAATATGAGGAACACAAGAGGCTGCATCAAGGCTCGAGTAAACAAACAACTGTGCTTCAGATTTCTTTTCTCCTAATTAGTGAAACACCTTTATATAGCAGATGCAACTCAGGAGCAAAATGCTACAACCTCCCATACTTTTTCTAAGGCTTACTCGCCCTCTTTGGGATTTGGCTCCAGTAAGACTGAGTAAGTTGGTCCCCTGGTTTTTGTCCAATTTAGAATGAGAAAGTGAGGCCAGGTCACTATTAGCTAGACCCCAGTCTGCAGTAACCTCCTCACAAAAGACAGTGAAAGTCAAACCTCTGCTTGAGCTGATTAGGATGACATAGGAAGGCTCATCATACACACCTGACACTTGGGAAGCCACATAATATGACTAACAAAAATAAGGTGAAGGTAGCAGATGCTTAAAGGAATAAAAAAAACCCTCCAGACTAGAAAAAAAAAAGGGGGAGGGGTTAACAAACATTAGATGTAGACCGAGTTAAATCTGAAGTCCATTTTAAAACATCAGTTATCTCTCTTTCCCCAAAATCAACTTCTGGATTTGGCCCAGTGTATTTTCTAATTATTTTCATACATAGCGAATGCAGTGATAAACAACATCCTTGCAGTCTTAAATCACATAAATGAAAAATTCCGTAGGATTTTAGAAAGGCATGGGCTTTGTGCTGCCTCTCTCTGTGAAAGACTACCTAAGATCTTCCCTCCCTCCAACAACAGTCATCAAGAAAAAAAAATCAGATCACTCCTATTTAATAGTACAAGGAAGCTAATCAAAATCAGCTTGTGGCAAAAGGACGTCTGGATCCAATGCATCTCTCATTACTTTGAACATACAAGCACTCATACAATATTCAAAATAAAATGTCCAAACGCATGACACAGTTCAAAGAAGAGATTAATTACTTCCAAAATAAATTTAGAGATATTGAGGTTACTAAAAGAAGAATGACAAAAATCCACATTCTCTTCTGGAAAAGAGCAAAAGTCAGTATTTTATAAAGCAGTACATCCAGTTTCAAGAGGGACCTAATCTGCTGGAGACACTGACAGTGCAGTTGTCAGGTTTGGGAATGGAAGGCTGGCAGCTATTATCACCAAAAAGCCTTCGTATATTATATGAAAAAGGATGAAGGAGATTAAAGAAGAAAGTGAACAGAAAAGCTATAAAAGCATTGCTCAAAAAGAAAGTTATTTTAAAGGTGGCTTTGTGCAAGTACACACGTTTATTTTCATTCTTTTTAGACATCCAGACTTTGTTTACTAATACTTTATTATAAAAAAACCTCAACCTTCCAAGCTATTTTACTCCCAAAACCCAAGGTTGGGAACAATCTCTTGTTCTCCTACCATTAGCAGGGTAATCTCCAACATCACAACATTTGCTGTGTCCCCTTACTACTTTACTATTATTGGGATGAAAATGTTATTTTAGTTATGGATGGGAATGTTATGAAAAGTGTTTTTTAATGCTGACATGATCCTTCAGAAACACAAAGTGGTTAGCACACTGATGACTTAGAAAGTATTCTTCCAATATCAGAGTGCATTACAGATATAAAATGTGGAAATAAATAAACAGAATGGACCGCTCCGGAACAACATGAAAGGCATCCCTGCACTAGAAAATTACATAGATACAAAGACTAGACTCATAAATCCATATTGCCCCGAAGTTAAAAGCCGTACCAAATTGATGAAATAAATCAAAATGTCAGACAGGAAAACTCAGAAACTAAGATTTTTTGAAAGCCATTATAAATAATAAAATATTAAATGTTATCTTCACATTGATCAGATGCCAAAGTCTAATGCAAACAGAAGGTGTGCAACACTGGAGTAGCAGCTAAATGGAAAAAAGATGAGTATCCTACTGCTTTCCAAAAACACATTGGCAAGACCACCAAACAAATGAAAATAACTAAGGCAAAAACGGTATAAGCGTGAGGTTAAAATATAGTTTCAACTTTCAGGACATGTATCTGTGGATTTTGGAAAGGTTAAAAAATAAACAAACTACCTCACTATAGTACTGATGTGGGAGGAAAAAGGACAACTGAGTGTTGGGAGACACCTACGCTCCCAACTAAAAAAGAACTGACTTAAACAAAATTAATTTCTTGAGTAAGATAACCTACACTCAGTGATGTTGACAGTAGGACAAAACCAAGGCTCCTAATGTTCCTCACTACTAGCTGAGGATCAGGTATTGAATGTTGTGCTCTGGGCCACAGTGTCTGGAATTGCCTCTCTATTTTGGCTCCAGCTTCCATTCACAGGAGCATACAAATGCTACCAGCCTGTGCCTTGAGCTGCAGCTGAGAGGGTTTCTGCGTAAGGAATATCGTGAAGGTAAAATGTTAGTGCACAAAGAATACTGGACTGAATTTTCCTCTATTGTCTACCATGGAAACTACATGTGTAAGTCTCCTTGTCATCTTAGAAAAACCTTAACTTTCAATTCTGAAAGTCATTTGATCTGGTGACAAAATAAAGCTTATGTTGGATTAAGGAAGTAATATCTTCTTCATGACCCTTCTACTTAACAGCAATTACTTTTTGAGGAAAAACTCCAGGCCACTGGACTTTATCCAAAAGAAAGGAAACATCAAAACTGAATCACTACCCCTGAAAGACAGAACACCCTGTAAGTTAGACAGCTACAACAATATAACCACATAGAGCAAGTGCAGTTTTCTACAATAAAAATATGTAGTGTTCCTCAGACTACCCAGGAATGATTTATAACACACAGCATCAAAATGGGAACAGCAGATTGCTCTGTTACATTATGTTACTGGTACATGGAACATAAACATCATAAACCTACTTTAGAGTATACAAAATATGCTTCCACCATTTCTAGGCATGCACCAATCTTGCAAGTAAGTTACTATACTCAGTTCAGGAAGCTCAGCAGTTTGGTGAGACTGCTTGTTCTCAGAGGTAGAAACATGCATAAACATGAGCAAAGCAGGATCTTATAGACAATAATTATTAGTTTCCTGGATTCAAAACACAATTTGGTTACACTTTAGGAATGCACATCAGTACTTTTCACTGTACATCACTACAGTTTATTTACACCACACATCCACTAAGAAAAATGTTAAAAATTAACACTTCTTGTGTAAGCGCTCCCACAATATAAAGTTTTAGGTTTTAAAAATCACTGTCATCTCAATCATGCGCAAATTAAGTTGCTTTGTTGATTTATAACTGTAGAGTCAACAGAAAGCGTAACTTTAGGTTTTTTCAGTATGTTAATATGCAATATGTTAAGAATTACACTGATGATGCCACCTATCCCATCCAAACAACTCAAATTAACACATTTTTGACAATCGTTAAGCAACTTGAGACAGATTTCTTAAGAAAAGCCTCACTTATTGTATACTAAGTCTGAAAATCCAAACATGTTTTTGTACCACACTAGCAGCATCACAATGTCTACAACCATGGGAAGTATATACTGCTATGCTGACAGTGATGATAGTGTAATTGTAACAATCTGCTTGTTAGTTTAGGGATGTGGATTTCAATATTGGGAAATAAATATAAACGCAAACCTAGGTACTCAACACATTTTCAAAACATATATGGTGTAAAATTTATTAGAATTACCATCTTTGGTTAAAAAAACAGCCCCACAAACTATAATATTGGTTCTTTTCAGTTAATTCCTCATACGTAAGTCAGTGCCTTTTTTTAAGGACAGCTTGGTCTGATTGCTGTTTGGAAATTCTGGCTGTTTCTTAATGATATGGAAGCACAGTGTTAATTGCACATTGAAATGTGCGACCCTCCTCCCTTCTCCCCCCCAAATGAAATGACCTAAGGCTTTAAGCTGTATATTCATTTTTAATTAAGACCAGCTCAATCTGCTGTTTCTTAGGCAAAATAATACTTCTGCACTAAGATAAAATCAGGAAAAGCCACAATAGAAGGAGAAAAACATCTCAAAGTTTTGAAATGTTTAGTAACTAGATTTTTTTTTTTAACACAAGAAAGTGTAATGCAAAAGGCTAGCATTGTCATAGATATAATGTTTCCAGCAAGTTTCCCCAAAATTACATATTTCATATATATGGTACTCTACAGCAAAAGAAATGGTGGACATAAAACATACAGGGGAATATGTGAAACACTTGTGTGTAGGGCTTTTGCAGATAATGAAAGGGAACTGAATTAATCTCTTGGGAAACAATCAAGTATTCATTTCTTTCATAAAATGATTTCCCACCAAGACCTCTCCTCATAGAGGCTGAAATAAGAAAATGTATGCAGCTGTTAAATGATAAAGGTAATGACTGACCACCTTCTAGCACAAAACAAAACCTTGGTAAGTAACAAAACACAATGCCACTCTTGGTTTTCTGATTCATTGCAAAGCTTCCACTTATCATGTACCTGTCCTCAGCCAATAAATATTCTTAGAAATTATAATATAGCATTTAAATTCAAGAATAATGAATTTGAAAGAACGTGTCAAGTACAGCATAGAAAGTTGAGGCACCCACGCATAAGAAATTAAATATAACCCACTGAATGTCACAACAATCAACTAAGATAAATAAGGTAGCTAGAGATATTCCTAATTGCTTCATATTCAAAACTATTACTAAGTTTATAAACACCCATCAACTTAGTCATCAAATAACCAACAAAAGTTTAGAAAGTGTAGTGATTATATAAAACCACAAAAGTAGAATCTAGTTTCTAAAAGTGCATTTGTCACACCATCAGTAAGTTGTCCTCTTTCTTCAGCATGATCAGATGCACATACTTCTGCAGAAGACTTAAGCTCCACTGAATTCAGTGGACATACCGACGTAAAGCGAGTACTGCAGTGGCCATTAAGTTCTCACATATAATTATTCTATGGAAAAGTCAGTCCTTTGGAACCTCACCTG